GCATTAAATAGAAAGGCCATACCTCTTTTAATATACATTTGGTAAAGATAAGTGAAAAAATAACAGTAACCAAAACTCTTACGAAGTTTATAAGTCACTTCTCATTGCAAAACCTTCAATATTGTTACTTTTGACACAATTTTTCTCAACTAATCCATAGTTATGAAACTTCAGACAAAATACCACTTCTCCAAAGGAGTTACCGTTATGTCATTTGACTTTGATTATATTGCTTGGATAACACATTGTTTATTTAGTGTAAGCTTTCGATATTAGATGATCTAATTGATAGTTCACAATCAAAGCACCCTCTCTAACACTTCTATTTAAATGCATCAGTTACTGTATTTCATTTCAGTTTGGTGAATATCGTGACAATGCGATAATGGATAATATTTATTCACTGCTTTTGTATAATTTTTCTATGGCTCGAAATTGATTTGGTGACCTTTTCTACAGTACACGGACTGGTGTAATATAATCATGCCTAGGGTTTTCGAAATGAAAGAACAATCCTGTAGCAGATAAAGACTTATCTGGTTGTATGATAATAATCGTTAACGGCAATCTGAATTGCGAATCTTTTCTCTATTAATGAATCAAAAGCACTTAATGGGCTTTGATATCCTATTTCAACTCAAATGGTATTAATCATTTTTTAAAAATATCTTATACTCAACAAAATGGTATTCAAATGAAATCAAATTTATATTTCATGAAACAGGTTTGAAGAAAAACTGCCGAATGTGATCACATCTCAGCCTTAATATCACATTACGGTTTACGGGCATTGATATTTGCAGAAGCACAAGCACGCATTTGAAGTCAGAATCAACAAAGGATTTTATAAGTCCGAAGCTACTGCAGATGTAAATGAGCGGAAAAGGCGCATTGACATTATTCTTGCATTAACATATTTGTATGATTTGGGTAATTTCGCGTTCCGCTATCTGATTTTGCATACAGAAACCATTTTGACATGCTTTTAACACATTGGTGCCATTGTTTTTGTCAGATAATGATTTGATAATGAAAAAATTAGGGCCGTCTTTGCAAAAAGCTATTTTTTCATGGCGCCCTGAGTCACGCATGTTAAAAAACGATGCAAAGTGGCGGGTGCTCGCGTGATTAAATCCGTTCATACATGTTTCTTTTCATGTTAGTGTGTACCTGCGGGCGTAGTTTTCTTGTCAGAATTTAAATTGATTTAATTAGTTTCCAATTCAAGCATATTAATATAAACGCAGAGAAAAAATAATTCCCCAAGATCGCCAAAAACGACAAAACTGAAAATAGCGCAGGGTGGGTTTTTTATTGAGCCTGTTCATGGACTGTACTAAAAAGTAAAAGGTACCGTTCAAGCCCGCCAGCACCGGCTTAAGCAGAATGTAATATTTAAACAAGCCGCATTTTTTTTGTTCTCAGCTTAGCTGATCAATTTAATATAAATTCTATTATTTTTCTAACAAATCGTATTTGTAGTTCTTTACATAATTCATTTGTATTTCAATTGTGAACATATTTATATTGAAATAATTATAAGTGTTTTACTGTTATATTGTATAATCGCATTTCATGAATTGTTTATATATTTCCTTTGCTAAGAATGATTTAGTAGGTTGAGGAGAATCAACATGGCAGATTAGCTAGCGACTGTTTTCATATCCTGCAGAGATACTACGGCAAACAATAATAATATTTGTACCGTTTCTTCACAGAACAGACTGTAAGTTCCCCTGTTTCATCTAACAAAATGTTTGTGTTCAATGCTGTTTAGGTTGCTCCCATTTTGTAAATATTTGTAACACTTATAATAACAAAACCATATAAACACAAAATCCTGACACTTTTCAAGTATAATATTTTAAGACAGAGTCAGTGTCAGTCGGTAATAAAGAAACGACTTATCAGACTTTGCAGCGGCAAATTTACTTTTATTGGTCATACAGGATATAATACCACTGAACACTTAATTACTAGTATTCTTTATAGCAATCAAGATAAGTTAAGAACATAATTTTATCTTTTTCTGTTTCAGTACAAATAAAACATATTGAATACAAGAGAAAATTATCGATACAAATGCGTATACGAGGGTTGTCCAAAAAATTCGTGCACTACAGTTATTGTCGTGAGAGTTATTGATAAAAAGGCATGAATTATACATCACTTGAAGGGGAAATCTGTCTAAAATAAAAAACAAAAGAAAAAGCCATGTAACCGACGTGTCCTGAAAAAGAATCGTCATATGATACCGTTACCTTAGTAACGTAATACCGCCGCACGGCAAAAATTTGGGTTAGTTTATTAATTTAATGCATCACAGAATCCTTTAAACATTACATTTAAACGTCAAAATTCAGGGAAAAGTGTGTATACGTATTCCTGAAGTCACTAGAAAAAATAATGTCATTTACCATATTGTAACAGCCGTGAACAAATATTTCCGTGTGGTTGTCAATACTGTCATAGCATGAAAATGTCAGTCGCTAAACGTCTTGAAATATGGACGATCATTAAATTTTGCGCAATTATTAGTAAAACACCAACAGATACCTACAAAGAATTTAAAAGGGCAAGCGGTACCAGTTTAGTGTCACAAAGGCTGGTTTATAAATGGCACAAGCACTCTGTAGAAGGGAGAGGGTCGGTAGACGATGACAACCGATCAGACAGACGTCAGTCCGTAATGCCGGCGCATGTGCAGGGTTGTCCAATATATTCATATACTGGTGGAATATGTTGCATGTAGGTTGCATAATAACAATGAAAATAAAAATTACAAAATACTTTGCATCAGCCATTCCTCTAGTGACAGTATAACAAGTTATGACATAAAAAGCAAATGCTACTTTAAACACAAAGCAACAACAATTAAGACAATCAAAGTAATGAACTAACCTTTTTTTGTCGTGCGCAGGTATTACGTTACTAAGGTTACTGTATGATGATTCTTTTCCACGACACGCTGGTTACACAGATTTTTCTTTTGTTTTCTTATTTAAGACAAATTTCACCTTCAAGTGATATATAATTCATGCCTTTTTATCAATAACTCTCACGACAATAACTGTAGTGCACGAAGTTTTTAGACAACCCTCATATTGCATATAAATTGATACAAAAGAGATATTCAATGAATACACTTGAAACTATTCAACATATAAATGTATACATTGTACATTACATCGTTTAACTTGCCATAGACAAAATCATACAAAAACTCTGGAGACGGCAAACTCCTCGCAGATGCCTGCATATCTATTTTGGGTATATTTAGATAACTCGGTTTTAACGATGTTTTATTGTTCAGTTTTTAAAAAGATAAACCAGTAAGTTACAAAATGTAAAAGACCACGAAAACATTATATATCTGTCTATGCGAACATTGTTAATTTTGCAACTTGCATGATTGTATACAATAGTTGTCTACTCTTAACTTGCTATTTTTTTTTGTAATAAATGACCCATTCTTTCGATCAGGAACAGTCCAATTTCAGATTTCGGGTTTTCAATATAAAAATATAGATTTTTAAAGTAAAATGGAAAGTATAAAGGGAACTTTGTGTTTATCAAACGTCTTGTTAAATAGCTTTTTCTTTTGACATGTAATAAAACCATAATATTGCATGAAAACAATAAAACAATTGCATGACAGATGTCATACTTTCATTATATTCATTTTTTTATTCAAATATTACAATAAATACATTATTACAAGGAACTGATACTATAATATAAATGTTTTATTTACTTCTATATACTATTTTTATGGAAAAAACAAAACAAAAAAAAACAACAACAAAAAACAGTGGGTAATATTGAAAGATTCTGTAAATATAAACGATGAATGAAAATATTGAAAAATGTCATTGTCTGTTTTAGATAACCAGAGGGTACTTTACTCTAAGTCTAAGAAAATAACAGAATTACGTACAACTCGCGTTGAAATTTGTCCATGATATCTGATACAAGAACATCTCGGAAGATTTCAGTGAGTGGGATTCTTGCTAGAAATTAGACGAAATATTTAGGAGAAGATAATAGACTCTGTTTCAAAGTGCCGATTTAGTAAAGGAAATATAATAAAATTTGCATTGTCTTATACACTCCTTTGCACCGACGTATTAAACGCTATCAACTTCCAACACTTAACTTAAAGTAATGGAATCAATGTGTCCGATATAAAAACACTGAGATGACTTGAGGACAAAAACTTTTTTTCCGATTTTATACATCAATTTAATCTGATATAAGGAGCATAAAAATATGTGAACAGAAATGACTCAAAGGCAATGAAATCTAACAAATAGGAGATATGTGCATAATCGGTTTAATTTGAGTCTGTTAGAGAATAATTACAACCATTATGATTTATAGCTTAAGCAGCAATAATGCTTTAAAATTTAACCCGCAATTATGCTTCACTGCTAAAGAAGCAATTAACCTTAACAGTTTAATAAGCAAATATTCACAGTATAAGCAACAATTATGCTTCACAGCTTAAGCAGAAATTATGCTAAACAGTTTAAGAAACAATAATGTTTCACAGCTTAAGCAGAAATTATGCTAAACAGTTTAAAAAGCAAAAATGTTTCACAGCGTAAGAAGCAATTATGGCTCAGCAACTAAAATATAGACATCTTTGCTACATACGGAAAATATGTAAACTCGACACTAAACCTAGATGAAATTATATATTTCGTCATTGCTGGTGATACGTTGTTGATGCACCACTTCAGTAAATAGTATTATATATAGAATGAGCATGATCGTGCTGATACATAAGAAGTAAATTATTTTCAAGATGTGTTGTCCACTTAATACGTTTCTGGTTTTATTGTGAAGATACGGCTGTTATGTCGGATTATTATTTTTTATGACAATAGGTTCATATAAAATGGATAGTTCCTGCTGATGAAGGGCATTACTGTTTAAGAGCGTCTTGCAACATTATAAAGATATTTAGATATAACTGAGCTACAAGAAAAGGCTGATAAATCGACAGAACGCAACATCTATTTGCAATATTAATAATGATAAGTGATGTTTTTCTTTTAAATAGTGGAAGTTGAAATAAAAACAACGCGGAAGGCATTCCAGTTTTCTATTTTACTAATCGTTGTAGTAGTTGTTTTCCTAAATCTGTTTTGTTTCCTTTATCTACTTTTAATTCATTTGCATTTATTGTCAATTGTCAACCAACATAGCGGCTTCAAGTGGCATAAAGGCACTGCATGGAATGTTTTGACAAAAGACTGCTGTATTGATAAAGATTGTACCTCCGCCCGAATTGACACGCTGAAATGAGAGAGAGAGAGAGAGAAAACTTTTAAACATGTTTTTACATATTTCGGCTCAGGATTTTAATTGTCTGCTATTTATCTTATTACAATTTTAGTAATGTGTTTTGAATCCTAGCTGTAAACAGGAGTATCATTAACTCAAGATTTGACTGTGATATACATTTTTATGATTTATTAGTATTTTTAAACATGATTATATTTAGGTTTGCCTCTCTATGTCATGCCGCCAATACAAAGGACCAAAATGGAAATAAGAGCTTTTTTGTCCTTTTTTGTGTTATCCTTGGTTTTGGTGAGCATGTCATAGTTTTACTCGTATGTGATATAGTATTTAATAATGCTCATTTTTTTATCCTATGTTATATTGTTAATTATGTATATGCTTCCTTTGCCGAAATAAATCTATCTATCTATCTAGAGAGAGAAAATAGTAAGAACAGAATAAAATAATCATATGAATTGTTGTGAAGTAATAAAATAAAATTTAGGGTTTTACAATGTACAGTAGACTACATGATTTTGCGATTATTTGAAAGCAAATGATGGAAATCTAAGACAAAAATTGCACCTTGCATGTTGTGTAATGAAAGCGCTACATCGGTTGTCATTATGACATACATGTATATTTTGGTATGATTGTATTGATCTTTTTATATTTTTTCAATAACTTATCCATTCTGATAGAATAGCTACGGACGTTTTTGACTTTTGACGATAACTCTAAAATACATACTGTTAACATTCATTATCTCCCATATAATGATTTTTTAAAGGAACTCGGTAAAGAATAAATTCTAACTTCTGTAGAAATGGCAAATATGTGTTTAATGATGTTGTAATAATGGATGAAGAACATGACAGATGCTCATCACCTGATGAAAAAAATCGTTGAATGAGCAATATTTTGGGATAAAGGTTCAACAATATTAACGAAGTTGTATTTCGTATTTAATACGTAATCGCTATAAGTGGACAATGTCTTAAACGCAAAAGAGACAAAAGATGGAACAGGTATGTAGCCAATGTTTAACGTTTTTGAAACTAAACAGATCACTTAAAAAGTTTTAAAAACAATACAAACAAAAACATTTTTAAGCTAAATGGGTGTTTAAGATGTCTTTAGTATTAGGAAATTAAAACAAAATACACATCAAATAATGCGTTTGATAGTAAGTTGTGAGCGATTAACGAAAGCAACGCAATCCAAAAATGTATTTTTTTTTCAAATTTAATAGATTGTCTGAAAGAGTGGTCTAATAAAAATAATTTGCAAAACACAAATTTGAGATTTTGTTCCTTTGTTGCTTGCTTGCTTGTTTGTTTGTTGTTTTGTTTGTAAACTGTACATATACAGATCTACATATACACTTTTAAGGTCACATAACTGTTTCTTAGGTTTACCTGTTGAGGGATACAATAAAAAAGACCCATTAAACTTAAGACATACTTCTCTACTCCAATAGGCCCGACAACAGCATTGCATGGACTCCAAAATGGCAGATACCTGACGGATTTCATTGTAGACCATTGGTTCATATTCCGAAACGCAAACATTATAATAAAGTTTTCTTGTGTAAGCTCGATCACCTTCGTAAGATGTGTGTGTTAGATTTTCAACACTTAGTCTACAAGAGCACTGGCATGATATATGCTTTAAGAAAGTTACCATAACGATCAATATGAAGATTCTTGCAATACCTCTCATCTGAAAGGAAAATAATATATATTTAATGTATTGCATTGCAAACTGAGAATATAACAACAATGCGGTATAGAGGTTTTGTAACATTCAATACATGCCATTTGTCGTTTTAACTTATTTTGACATGTAACATTTTTTCCGTAAGATTATTCATGCACATAAGCACATTATGGTATACTTTTTAATTTTGGGCAAAAACATAAACCGTAACAGTATAACATTCAGAACAAGATGTTGAATTAATTACATGCATAACAATTTGGATTGCAATAGATAGCTTACACCGTTTTATTGAAAGAAAAGTATAATGACAATTCTAGTGAAATGCTGAAATACATATTGTATCATAGTTTGGGGACTTTTCTGTTGAAAATGTGTCAAAGTTAAATCGTATACATATACACGTACAGTGCGTTAACTGGAGTGCACATGTTAGTTACCCGCACTCCAGAGCATGTACATTGACTTGTTCATTTTTGCTGGGGTTTACATATTGTGACGGAAGAGAAAGGGAAAGCGACAGAAATATCATATTCAGATGCTCGTTCATTGGTTACTTTTTCCCGGGGTTTCATATTGTGATAGCAGGGAACGTGTTTTTATGTTTGATACAAACATCGTACAAATCAGATAGCCTCGTGTTTCGGTGCTCTTTCTATTACTTACCGGTTTATAGATTTAATTTAGATTTAATATATTATATCATTTTCAACATTTAAAAAGTGAAATGATGAAATTGATATCATGTGAATATAATCTGAATTTATATTATATCAATTCCAACATTTCACCAGAAATGCCATTGATGCTTCTAAATAATACTACTTCAATAAATGTACGGAATAAATAATTACATTTTGAAATATTTCATCTTGCCAATAACGTTGAGTGAACTTTTCCATGTATACTCCTTTACATAATATTAAATCTAAAAAGTCCTTACATTTTCAACATAATTATTTTATATTAAAATCAACATATCACTACTGTTGCAATTCTAACTATTGACCTTAAAATAGATACTCTTTTAACTAAAATAAAATGAATAAACAGGAACATTCATATATATTTCTTTGTACATAAATACATCTTTTGAAACTTCAATTTTTATGTACAAAAATGTATAAAATGCATAAAAATCCTCTGTAAAACAAATATCAAATTTGACATTAAAAGCTACTGCATATATAAATTGACTGATATATAAAAATTATTTTTTTAACATGACTACATATGTGTTGCAACTAATATATATATCTATACATTTATGACTAGATTTTAGGGAATTGAAAGGTCTGTCTCTAGGTAGCCATCATTTAGATATCATGATACAAATATGAACTATTATGAATGTAAATTAATAAATTGTTAAATATTTCGCCTAATAAATAAGTTTCAAAAAATATATGTTTGTTTTTTGTCAGGTGCGATACACAGAACATTTCAGTAAATTAGCAAATGGAGCTTCTCTGGGGTTAAAAAGGCTAAAAACATAAAATTTGAAATGCACAGATCTTGCTCTTATATCGGTAAAATATCTGGAAGATAATAAAGAATAAAACGCCCAGAAATCAATTCAAAGTAATTAAAGATATACTATGTTCATCCTATTTTAATCGCAGAAATGTATTGAAATCTATGAAATTCTTACTGAATATTCTTATTTGAATAAAAGATTAAATAAATTATGTATTGGAAGATGCGTTCCTTATTTAAGGCCAAATAAAGTTTGTCTTTCTAAAAAAACTTTTAATGATACTATATATTCATATTGTGACGTCCCTATGGTATGTAGACTTTTAAACATAACTTATCTTCTAGTGTAAAGTCAAAATATGTTTATTTCATATTTACAAAGAGACTGCGTAGCAATAACAATATTTTCTAATATCAAATTTGAACAAGTATATCTTTAAAAAGCTACACTTTATTCAAGGTTATTTTGCAAATTAAAACACTGGACGAGTAAATGTTCTGAAATTGGTACACAAGTTATATGTATAGAACTTTTTAAACCGTATAGAAATCTCGAAATCAAAATATTTTCGGCCCCATCATGTAAACAATATTCTCAGTGGAATTCTTTCAAATAATTCATAAAGTCGATAACCGAAATCAACACCCGGGAATACATTTTACAAAGTCCATCGTCATTATTTTTGCAGTATATTGTTAGAAAAGAGCATATAGTGAATAAGTTTGAGTATAATTATATAATTACAATGATATAAGTTAACATTTTTATCAATTTCAAAAAGATTTCTAGACAAATTTTTACATCTTTAGATTAGCATACATAATTATGAAGAATATATTAAAAAAAATTCAGTTTTCATAATTCAAATAAAAAACAGAGATACAAATACATATTAAGTAAGCAGTCACGTGAACAATAACATACATTTTACCTTTCTTCCAAAACCGTACAATCCCGTAGCACAACAACAGTCCACTATCGTTTATTTTCTTGTGTTTCGTAAAATGATATCAGCGCACAAATTTAGTGAATTATTTTCATTCAATCATAGTTTGCTGAAAGACAAAAGAATCAGAGCTATCTAGAGGACATGAATCATTTGCTCCCGCATCATCCATTTTAGCTGATCTTATCATAGTCAGAAGGGAACTGCTATATGTGGCAAGTAAAATGTTATTGTTATTTCGTATTAGTTACCCACGCACATGTTACAAAGCAACCATCATGTCACTTATTCAAACTATTTTTACCCATTTAGTTGTTCAACCAAGGAATGTTTGAAAATAGCTTTCACGTATTTACATTCAATAGCAGAATTGTAAAAGACACTCGCTGCTATGCATTCTAATTTTGGTAGATAAGAGATAATTTCTTGTGTGTCTTGGTGTAAAATTATAAAATAAAATAATAAATAAATAGAAAGAATAATAAAACAGATCTAAATAAACAAAATTAATCAAAATAAATAGAAATAGGAACGAAAAAGTAAAATCATTTATGAAAGTAGTTACAAATTCAGTAAAAGAATAAAAAGATAATTTCAGTATACATACCACAATAGGTATACAATACATTTAATGTACTTTCAGTCATGTCATACATAAATATTTCTTCAAGTATAATGGTATAACCTCTTGATATGCTATCAAGTCTTAACATCTTATACTCCTTTCTCTGCTAGAATCACAAGAGAACAGCCTTTCTCACCAGCATAGAGCCAAGACAGCCCGCACACCTTCAAAACCTGACTAGCCGCCATTCTGTTTACTAACTAAATTTACTTTTCATCTTGCAAAAGAAGGCGAATAAATTTAACAGCTAAGAGTTTGGATTAAACACATTATTATGTTACTAAGGCCTCGAGGACGGGAATTGTATGACGTCAACAACGCATTTCTTAGGACGTCATCATTTTGACGCACACATTATAATGCGACATACTAAATATACTGTAGGAGGATAAATGTTTCTTTTAAGTATTTTGTGTTTTAGAAGTTATCTTATAATGTAATTATAAGATATAGAACGTTGTTTTGATGAAACATTTTGAGACACTATACTATAGGGATTGTTATAATATTACAATACGTTGAGATTATTTGAACGTGATGCATTATTTTGCCTAAGTTATACTATATGACAAAGTCAAGTTCACTGACAATGAAAATTCGATGTTATTTAAATTTGGAATTGTTCTTATCATGCAATTTGAACAGAAACTATTGCGAAATAAATGCAAATTTTTGAACACAAGAATGGTTGTTAACTTGAAAAATCTTTCGGACTTTGATTAAACATACACATATGAATTTGTCGTTTAATATTTTATCAATTTCATTTTATTCTCGTCATGAAAATCATTTTCTAAATTAAAAGTTCAAATTATCATCAACAGTTTAAAAATGAAATACTGTTTTATATTCAATACACACCCCTTATGTAACATAATCGCCATGCTAACCAGAATGTAAGAGCTATTCATTAGGCAATGAAAGTGATAAAAAGTGACATTGAATATGATTGTCATTTTAATAGTTTCAAACAACAATCTAAATAATGAATTTCTTCTCTATGGAAATATCTGTTATTGAATGAGAAACGCTTAATGGGTTAGGATATCTCATTTCATTAAAAAAGTAAATTGTCCTCATACTATAATAGGATTATTACTCTTTCTTTCATATCATGTTCAATATAAATATATGCTCACCTTTTTATATGGAATCATTACACTATTCTTTTTTATGTGTATATTTATCGTTGTTTCTTTTTTTCTCCGCCGATTTTTAAGAAGCATGCCACTAGATCCATGCTTATTTTTATGAAAATTTTGAAAATGTATTTAAGAGTAAATTATTGTGAAGGAAACAAAAATAGTAATTTACATATTGAAAACGGGCCTTATAATCCCCGTAAATATTTAAAGAGGTCAAAATGCAAAATGCAAAATACTGTCCATACTGGTCTTGAGTCACGCAGTGGAAATATAATAATTGTGATATATACTGCACAATCAGTTATTTAGCGCAAATAATTTTACTTGAAAGACTTAGTTCATTTTTTTCAAGTTTGAGTTATTGAAATATTTTGACTCATCTGGTGGCAAGCAGCTTTGACTCGTTTTATTGGTGTTATATCGGCGAATGGTCCGCCTAACCGGCTTTACTGGATACCTAACTATTAACAACCAATGTCTGTGTAATTGACCGTGTTCTTATCAAACTTGATTTCTGAATCAGCGTTGAGAGACAAATTACCATATAACTTAGTGCCATAAAGTTTTGTGATTTGCACGTGGACCAAACCATCTTCCCTTTTAATATATTACCAGAAACATTGAGCCCTTGTGGCTGAGGGGTTGTCTATAATGGCTGAGGCATAATAATTGCAACTACCGTTGATCCCTGTGTGATCATAAAAGTCGACTCAATGGGTTCGAGTAATAACTGGGATCTATGCATCTCTTAGATACAGTAGGTGCGGCGGTTTTGATCCCTAGTTTGCTATGAAGTGTGGCCAGACGCCCTTTTCTATGTCTGACCACTCGGGGAATTAGCTTTAAATTGTAACTTCACAATTGCTTTTGAGATTTATATAACAACAAACTTCAATGTCCACATTCAGTTTCTTTTATTCCATATGATTTGCTAAATCTTTTACACCAGTCCACCTTATTATTAATTAACTATTATCTATTACAATATCAAATTAAATCCTTTTATTCACTTCTAATCTTTCTACTCAATGTATTTTCTTTTTTTATCCTAACCTTCTTAACCTAGACTTAAACCTAAACTGACCTAACTTTCCCCCCAAATCTGTATGTCCAAAATTCTATCCAAACCAAAGTATCTGCCCCCTTTTTGAATTTATCCAATCAAATAATATATTTCTTATCTTTAATCTGTCTATCATAATTAATATAACATTATCACATGTTTATCACATGTGCATTTGACCAGCTTCTAAGTTTTTACATCAAAGGATTTCACACCTAAGTGATATTGCTTTGAGAAGCTAAAGAAGCAGACCAAAACTAATTTCAGTCTATCCCCCTCAGCTTTCCAAAGAACTAAAATATGTTATTAGATCACATATTAGCATGATATTAGGTTGATCATAAACATAAAACAAAATATTGCCTGGCTACAGAAGTTTGAGGAAAAAAATGAAGCATAGCTAAATAATTAAATGGTGGACCTTAGATTCGCTTAGGAAAACGCCTAAGATTTTTCTAATGCTTTAAAATTTTCTAACGCATAATGTCTACTGGAAGTTATTACGTAAAAGAGAAATATCTTGATGACGATCAAAGGCAAAATATGAAAAGAATACAAATTGCGCAAAACTTAAGTAGAATCTTAAAACACCTTGCAAATAACAGATAATAAAAATATTGATATATTAAAAGATTACAATTGTTGCTATTTAAACAATCTATTTGTGACAATTAGGATTGTTTTTCTTGTAACTAATTTAATTTCGCAATCTGCTGTTTAACCCATCAACCTCATCAATGTCACGAAAGATGCCCGATAAAATAAATCAAATACTTGGTTTGCAGCTTGGTTTGTAACTGACCTACTAAGGAGATAAAGTGGGTTTATTAGATAAATAGTGAGACTCGGTTATCGCAGCAGTGGGCGTCTTTAAAAAAAACATACTCGGCCGAGATAAATCTGCTTTTACTTGCAAAAAAAATCATTTTTCATTTTTGTATTCATTGAAATTTTTTTTATTTCAAACACAAATATCTGTAAAATGTCATTAGAAGGAAAAAATAAACAAATGAAAAAATCTGAGAAACTTAAGAAGAAAGTTCGTTTCCGGAACTTCTTTAGGTTAACCAAAATTGGACGCATACACCCGTGCCAATCATTTTATTATATTATTTTACTCATCTAAAAATTGCCAATGAGATTCCAAGTTTACATTTTGTAATTTTAATAAACAATGAAACTTCTCCTTATATTCAGTTTTACAGAATCTCAAAACTGATTTTAGATGACATTCGACTGAAAAATGTATCATTTTGAATTAATTGACAGGAGTCACAAATTAGCAAATAACTTTAAAAGTGGTATCACGTATTAACACATGATAGAATTTAATGTGACCACACATTAAAGCATTAAACACGTTGATACAGAATATACGTTGAGGACATTTTGATCTTAATAACGACCTAAATGTACTTATATTTATCTAAAAGTCGAACACTCTGATAGCCCTACATAAATCTGAGTACATTATCGTATTATATTGCACATATCCAGCCATTGGAAGACTGTACAAAAGCACAGGAACAGAACTGAGCATATGTTTTGTTTTGTATTAAGCATATATAAAGCTTATCTTGATATACAAGAGCATATAGAACAAAACAGAACATATATATAATTTGAATTAGGCAGCTCATGTTTATTAGACAAAATATACATGTACATGCATGAATATGAAAAATGGAAACGCATATCAATAAATTAATGAGAGTGTAATACAACACATGTAATATAAACAATCCTTATATAAGTTTAAACATTACAACAGGATGGGCTTATATAATATCCGCATTAAATGAATCAAACTTAAACTTAAATGCTTTATTGCAATATACATGAAAGGCTAATTTTGTTAACACCGACTTCCTGTCCGAATTCAGCAATTCTAAAAATTTAAACATGCTAGGGTTTTTTGCAAAAATAGTTGGATATTATACTGTTTCCTAACATAATCATACATGCATGAATATCAAAATGTTAATGAATATAAATAAATAAATAAATTAATAAATAAATAAATAAATAAATAAATAAATAAATAAATAAATAAATAAATAAATAAATAAATAAATGATAAGAGGATATTTTTTTCGTTTGAGTGAAATATGGAATATATTTTCACGAAACATGATAAAATGCTACATATTTTCACATATTTTTATAGAAGATATTGAATGAGTGTAGATTTATTACTAAATTTATTGAACGAGTTGAATAGAACATATTATGCGAGCCTCTGAGCCTCTATATTGTTTTATTTAACGAGTTCAATA